ATGGCTTATCTCATAATGAGGTGCGAGGAGGTCTTCTGTCTGTCTCTCGTGTGTTTCGCCATTATCCATTCACGGCAGGCAGACCGTTATTCAGTATGATGATAGTAGGACACTTGTGCTCGCAGGTGTTCAGAAAGGTGGGCTGCTTGGATCGCGGAAGGAGAGACAACTTAAAACCGTTTGTTGTAAGGCTTGATTTAAATATAGTTTAAATTTTTATATTGTTTTGAATGTGACGCAAATGCAGATTTCTATAGATTACATATTTTTTGGAGTATGTTATGTGCATTTATTTTGGTCTTTTTTTTGTGGAATGGAAAAACAAGCACAGCTTAACAGGCATGAGGTGATTTTAAAGGAGTGTTTTCTTCATTCAGGTTCTTTTTTTTTTCCATGCAGTAATTTTCTTTTTCTACGACTCCATTCGGTGCATTTCGAGTGATTTGCATGCGGTGCTCTGCAGAAATCGCAGGGTTTTGGGAGTCGATCAGTTTTTGTAGCCTTTAAGTGTTGGGGAGGTGCCATCCTGAGGGTGCCGTTCAAGGGTTTTATTTTGAAACCAAAATTACTTGTTTTGAAATATATATCACTGCACTTTTTCCACCACGCTTCATGAGCTGACGAAAAAAAATGTGCCAAACGACTGTAGGAGAATGTCCTTGAACCATTGAAAAGCTTGCACGATGCTCGCCAGCTGTTTCCGAGACTAAAATTGGTACGTTTTAATGAGCGAGTGGCGGCGAGTTTGAGAAAGGGTACAAAAATGTGACCAAATTCAGGTGACGTGGAACAAGTGGGCCGCGAGGCAAACGATCTGACGTCATTGACGATATGCCTCAAAGCTACTGACCGGCGACGGCCGGTATCGTGTTTTGAAACTGCTAGCCCATTTCTCAAAAAAAGGGTGGCACCTCCGCCAGTCCTAAATATCCATGTTTTATTCAGGGGTTTTATATTTTATTTTAACGGTAGCTTTTCAGTCACTTCGTCAGTGTTTGCTTCATTCAATTGCTTGTGTGTCTGTTCCGTAGCGGTGAATTTTGTGTGTGGGCGAACGCAGGTTTCGAAACGCAAGAGGGCGATTGATAGGAAGGAAAAAAAGAAAAACATGCTAACAAAAATCTAAGTATATATGTGTATATGAAATGAAAACAAATGAGCTTAGGTTTATTTAAAAGACTTTACGACGTAGACACAAAAAAATTGACTCGGGAAGGGATCGGTTTCGATGTGCGTTCAACTATTTGTGGTGAAGAATCAGCTCAGATCTTGCACATAAAAGTTTAGATATTGTACCTACGAGTTACAGATTATTATTTTTGTTGGTTTAATACTGGTCTCTCTTGCTCTCTTTCATATTTATTGTCTGGTCGGGGAGCTAGTCCCGTTGGTTTACCTAGAGCACGGAGCTGTCGAGTATCCGGGTTTACAGTCAACCGAAACTCTTTTTCATGTGCCACAAACAAACGCAAATACTACTGTCTGGGGTTATTACCGTTATGGTTATGATGATGATGATGATGATGATGGTGGTTATAATAATTATTGATAATATTATTCAATGAATGATAATTGTTATTAAAATTAATTTCTTTTGTTTTTGTTTTTTAGAACAGCTAGGAACATGTGTGTTGGACTGCTTATAAAAACAGTTCAGAAATAAAAGCCCCTTTTTCGTGTTGCCATGCCTGTTGTCTCCATGCTTTCAAGCCGCTTCATTTTGGGATTTATCCTGTTTGTATCAGAACGAGGACACTTGTTCGATTTAAACTAACTCTTCAGTATGAGATTTATAAACTTAAACCTCCATTAGCCAACTTTCAGGGCATGTTAAAGCCATTTGGAAGGACTGCGGCCAAGTCTCCTCACTGGAGCTCAGTGTGACTGAGCAGTGCATTAGTGTTCTGGAGTAAACACTCCTCTCTTGGACATCCTTCTCTATCCTGCAGCTATAATCAAAGCTCAAATGATTCGAAGGTTTCTTGAGGTTTATTATCCTCGCCGTATTGTAATATCTGTCCTTGTTTACTTCTCTGAATGGGAAAAGGCTAAATGGTGTTTTAAACTGCACCGGCCTTGAAAGTATTTGGACACTCGAGTCGCAATGTCTAAATGTCATTAGATAAGAAAATCAAACCGAGTAGCATCTGTGCTCAAATGCTGCTAGACCTGTTGATTAGTTTTTCATAAACAGTTTGTGCTTTCTGTAAAGTAAATGCTGTTATGCAATTACAATAATACATTTTTAAAGTCAACATGAAATCAACATTTTTTTCATGCATTTGTAATGTTTTGTCAGTGATTCAAATGAAAATGTCTATAATCTTTCATCAAAATGGAAACATCTGGTCACCGACTTTTTCACGATACTGTCAATTCCTGATACATCAGCGGTTCTCAACCAGTGGGCCGGACCCAGTGATTGAAAATGAGACAAAAGAAGCATTAAAATAACAACTAAACAATTTTTTTTTTTGGGGAAGAACCAGTTCCTAGTGCTTTGAAAAATCTGGCTATATGAGGTTGCCTAATTTTAAAACTGAAAAAAGTCATATAAATAAGTGTGTATAACTCCTTGGCCACTTCATGAAGAAAATACATTTTTCTCTTTAGGCCAAGTACCAAACTAGTTTGGTAACCCATTACATAAGGAGGAAACAATGTTTCCTCTCTTGTTTAATGGGTTATTAAACATAGATTTTTAAAAAGATATATTAATACATTAAATCACAAACCAACTGTGAAAACCCATAAAACGATGAGGCCTTCAAATATTGTTGTGAACAATTATTTTTGACTGCGTTTTTTTTTTTTTTTAATAAGACTTTAAATGTCTGATAAATCTTTTTTTTTTTTTTTATGAAAACTTGGTGCCATAACACAATAGCCATGTTTACATGCATCAAAATAATTGGATTATAATCAGATTGGACTGAAAAGCCTTCATATAAAAAACACATCAGATTAGAAGGGATGGTGTAGACCTGAAATAGTATCAATAGGAAAAAAAATCAATCATGTAAACACTTGTATCTGACTATTTTCTCAATTGGATTAGAAAATACTTTGCACGCATGTTCAGTGCCATAATACACAGAATAGAACAGAATATACTTGTATTGTCCCAATTTTGGGAAATTTGTCATGGACTTAAAGGTGCCATAGAATGGAAACTGCATTTACCTTGGCATAGTTGAATAATAACAGTTCTGTATGAGCCTCAAACACCATTGTTTCCTCCTTATGTAAATCTCGTGCATGCAAAAGACCACTGAAAAATAGGCGAATCAGAACATAACACCGACTGTGACGTTACAGTCGGGATCACTAATAGTTACGCCCCCAACATTTGCATATACCCGCCCATGTTCTATGCCAGCGCCAGCCGAACCTGCACAGCCGAATCATCAGAAGTTCTGCAGGTAATGTGAAGAAACAAGCAAGGGTAATAGTGAAAATGGCAGATCATGGAAATAAATGTTATGTTCCAGGCTGTGCAGGGGATGTGATGTGCAGGGATGGGTTGGTGTCTGTATTCAGAAGGGCACGGAAAACAAATAACGCGTTCTAATAAAATAACCCGAGCCACTAAAGGGACATGTTAGCTGCTTGCTAGCGGTAGCCTGTTACATTACAGTACATAAGATTTCACTTACCACATAAACAGAGTAAGGAGAGATGACAACATTGAGCCGCACTGTGAAACAGCCAATCAGAGCAGAGCTCAGCATTATTATTCACGACCCTTCCAAATAAGATAAAAACAGACCGTTTCATTCTAGGGACAAATCCTAGGCTTGTAAATGGACATGTAAAACCGTTTCTGGATATTTTTTTGCCCTTACCTAAGCCACATACCTTCTATGTAGATATAAGAGAACAATTTAAAATATTGTATCAATGCATTCTATTTCACCTTTAAATGGCATAGCCAGCAATCAACACCCACAACACAAATCACATAGTTCAATACAATATTAAATAATGAAACAATCCAAATAAATTACAACCTACTACATACAAAGTCTTAAAAATCCAAAATTTGTCTCCTCAAGTTACAAGATTCTCATTTAAAATGTGTTGTCAGTTAAAGTTTGCTTGGCTTGTTTTATTGTAGATGCCTCATACAACTAATAGGCTACATCTCATGTCATGTGAACTGTCAGTTGATAAATATTTGCTAAAAAAAAAGCCTGTTTATGTAATCAACGGTAATAATTATACATGCTGTAGTAGCTCTGGTGACGACATCCACAGCGACTGGGAACTAGCATGTGCTGAAGTGTTTGAAATGCATGTAATGCACATGTGAACAAATATGTGAATCATATTGTAGTGCTTATTCCTTTCAGAATCTAAAATCAAATTGGATTCATTCCAGTTGAATCCGCCTAAAACTGAGACCTTTCGTGTGAAATTGATTTAACAGATGATAATCAAGTCTGCTAAAGATTACGTTTATAATCTGGAGATCATCTTGAGATCAAAATGATTGTATGAGATATTCCTCCACAACGGCTCCGCTAGATCCTTTCGAAAACCGCAGTATCCATTGGCCTCCGGCGGTTCCTCCCAGAGATCATGACTGTGCTGATACGCTTGTGTCCTCTCTCTAATTCTCTCTTGAGTCATTAGCAAGCCTGCGGACGCTTGACTTGTGTGCTTTTTCTAGCCGTTTCCAGCACTGCTTTCCCAGGTTTGCATCGAGACGGATTTCCAACGTCCAAATGGGGTCATTCTGGACATCCAGCCTTGACTAAGTGTTCAGAAACAATGCTGCCAATGTAATCCAGCATGTTTTGAAATCATCCACATCAGACGACGCATCCAGTCGGATCCCCAACGTGTTAAAGTCGAAATAATGTCCCCCTGTTTACAGCACTCGAGTGTTTCCCAAACAGGGTAGTATGTCCCACCTCTTCTAGCCGCGGGATATTTATAGCCGAGTCTTGTGTTAACTCAGCTGCCATGCTTATCTCTGTGTGTGTGTCCTGCCACTCTATTTCAGATTGTAGCTTCACCCTCTCAGTGACAGTGAGACTGTGTACCTTGCTTTTGGCCTCTTTTCAGCATACATTTCTCTCATTGGATATATTCTTCCACTCCATTGAGGAACCATCACAAGGTATGCCTGTTGGTTTTTCATATTGACTGCCAAATCTGTTTTTTTGTAGATACTGTGATTTATGTATAGATCCCAGACCCTCACAGACACCCACGTCCCGTACGGCCGGGGTCTGGTGTTCTCCTTATGAGATTAAGGGACGTTGAGCCATTCGTCTAGGCCCGGAAGTTGAGTGGTGTGTTCTGGTTGGGAAATGAAAGGCCTTGTGTTTGACTAAACGCGGCGCTGACTCCTGCTGAAATCTGAGCTCCCAGGATCATTTTCTGCCTCTGACTAATTTGTTTTGTTGTTTGCCGTGCAATGACAAGATGTCGAGGGTTGGCAGGATTGGAAATGTGAATGCAATGTCATGATCCTGCGAACTAAACGTCGCATGAGTCAGTCTTCGTGTGCATTTACATTAAGATGCAGTGATTTGCAGGAAACAAGTGAGCTACTGTTTAGCTTACGGCTGTCATTTGCAAAAAGACACGTGAAAGTTTGACATAATCCGTGATATTTGATGATTACCATATTTGTATGGAGTTAACATGGTACTCCAGAGTGCTTCAGTTGTATTACTATGGTACCTGTCCAAAATCGTGGTATTTCCATGGTAACGAGGTCAGAAATTAATTGGGGTAAAAAAGCCCAGGAATTCAAATTGTTTGTAATATCTGATTATTTCATGTGTCTTATATTTTAAATATTCTATTCGAGACCTAGTTAAATGTTTCGTAACGACAACAAAAAAAAACATGAGATTCACTCATTTAGAATTTGTCAATGAATGGATGAGATATCTGGCAAAAGGATGGCACTATAGTTTATAGGGTTAGAACAAGTATACCCAAAAAATCTGATTTTATGGGGACAAATATTTAACTATAATAAAAGTTCATTTTTGACACCGTGGTGCAAAAAGAAGAAAAAAGTAGGACCATGGTGCATTTTACAATATATATTGCTAGCTATACTAATACTGATTGTATTGTATTTTATGGCAGTATATTTTATGTGTTTAGAAAGAAATATTCCTGAAAATCTAATTTCACAGGGACAAATATTTCACCATAAAAAAAAAACAAATAATTTCAGACAATATGGTAATTTTTAAAGATTATATTGCAAGCTATTTTATATTCAGCTCCACTTTTTTTTTTACCAAGTGATGGAATTATTTTATTTATTTTTGTTTGTTTGTTGCAGTACAATAATATAGATTTTGTTCATCATTAGTCATCATATTTGAATTCAAATAATTTCATTTAATTATCAGCTATCTGTGTTGGTAGATTCCTTGGAGTTTGCCAAATGTGGTAATACCGAGTTGTCAGAAATGTAAATGCTCGCAGCACCTTAAGTGAACAAAGTGTCAACAAAATGAAAGAGATTTGTAAAATGAAAAGCTGCTGGCTGAACACAGACATGGTAATGAAGCACAGATCTGCGCTGTTTCCAGTCAATTCCTGCCATTTGGCCTTCATTAGACTCAGCTTCTGGGTTTGTGTTGCTGGAGCGGGTGCTCTGTGTTTATCATGGAGCGAATGTCTCACTGAAGACTGTGGAAGAACATAATCTCTTTCATTTAGTGCCTTGTTGCCTGAAGAAGCTCAGTTGGATTTATCATCAACAGCCTAAGTCTAGATTTGTATGTTTTGTGTGTATTTGCCTGTGCTAAACTCACTGTCACGATGCCAGGGTTGTTTTGGGTGGTTTTTAGCAGGTTTCTAGGGTGTTTTTGGTGGTTTCTGGGGCATTACCCATAGCATAACATATTCCGTTTCATACTGTAGATGTGACTCAGGTCCTTCCTTCCCTCTAAATGCATGGAGAGTTATGTGTCGAGGTCTAATATTTATATATCAGCAACAGCACTAGTGATCCTCGGCTCCTTAGCAACCGCTACTATTAATTACAGCCAGATCTTCTGCATTACAGCACGTTTGCTGAGCGATGACCTCTGTTACCCGCAGCGGTCAGCCGGCCCTTTCACTCTTTCCTGCTTTATATCGTTCTGGGTTCAACTGCTGGTAAAAGTGAGTTTTGTTTCATTTGAAAAAACGTTGTAATGCATAAACATCTGGCAGCAGCAGGGCAGCAGATGAAGACACACAGAGATGTTTTTATGTGTGAAATCATTTGCATAACGCATCCTGTATCTGCTGATGTCTGCCTCACCAGTTTGCTCAGATTTCACACACAAATTCTGGATTTTAAGAAATAATAAGCATTTATTTCGACTGAATCTCGTGACAATTTCACAATGCAAAAATATATATTATATTATGTTATGTTGTTATATTATATGATTATATTTTTATATATTATTTATAATTAAGAATTAATTTTTAGTTATTTAATAATTATAATTAGTTATATATTACAATATTACATATTAAATAGCAGCATTTATTAAACTTAGTTCATGTTAATTTACTAATGCATTATTAAACTCACAAGTTTTGTTTGGTAACATTAGTTAATGCATTGTGAACTAACATGAACAAAAAATTAACGACAGTATTTTTATTAACTAACATTAACGAGGATTAATAAAGAGTGTAATAAATGTAGTGTTCATTGTCCTTTCATGTTAATTAATACATTAACTGATGTTAACAAATTACACCTTATTGTAAATTGTTACCAGTAAAATAATATTATTACTTATTAAAATATTTATTATATATGTTAAAATATATTATTACTTATTCATAATTAAAACAAATATTATTTATAAGTAAGGTAATTACTGATTATATTTACTATATATTTATACAAGATTGCATAATAAAAAACACTTTTAGAGGCATTTTTATATATATATATATATATATATATGTGTGTGTGTGTGTGTGTGTGTGTGTGTGTATTTATACAAAATATTTTTTTTTTATTTTAAAATAGTCATAATATTTAATAAAATATTTATAATAATATTAAATTATGTATAAACACCTGTAGTAACTTGAGTATTTTGCTAGAACATTCATGGTAAATGTAAATAGTTCATGGTAAATAGGCATGATAATATTGGGAGAGTAAAAGAATACATTTCACAGCCTGCAGTTAGTAAATGTTTAAGCTATACATTTTTCATACCAAGTACTTGTTTTTTTTTTTTTTAAGTAAGTTTGCATGCAGGATGAGGGAATATATTATTATTATTATTAATTATTTATATATTTTTACAATGTTATATTACTACTTACTAATTTTATTTGTATTAAATATGACCCAGACTTTTCTCCATGAGATCATCCCAGTATATTATGATAATTCGGTGTCTCTTTCTCCATCTGCAGGTCCACAGTGTCACTGTTTCCATTTTTGGCTCCACTTTGTGTCCTCGCTCACATCACACCTGGCTGAGATCTCCCCGGCTGACCTTTCACCCCTCGTCCCGCCATGGCCCTCTCCTCACGCTTAAAACTCTGGGAACAGAAGGGAGGTGCAGGCCTGGAGCTCAACTCAACTAACCCGACTGCTGCTTGACTCACTGTTTATTAACCAGCACCAGTCCACCGTTTAATCACTGTTCTTTCTGAGATGCTTGTAGTCTGGCCTCAGTCTCACACAGACCACACACTGACATTAACTTTAATATGAAAGTCAAAAGACTGCCTGCGTCTCTTGAAGTCTCTGTAAAGTAATGCAGGTCACATTGGCAGTGCTGTCTGGCAGCTATTAGACATACAAGTACAGCTTCTGTAAAATGAGGAAAGACTGAAATTGATACAATATTACATTTGAACTACATCATCAAATCTAACAACAATAGTATCAAATGTTGCTTCTCTTGTCCTAGGGGAAATAAAACACCTGCAAAGATCAATTAGCAATTTATTAACTAATTTCCTATGACTCAAGTTAGGCCCTCATGTTTGTTTGCTAGCATTATCTTCATTTTCATTTGGTAGCTGGTAGTTTTATTTGGACAAAGTCTATGTCGAATGTATGCTAGATACATTGTAAAAAAAATATTTGTCAAATTTAAAATATTATTTCATTTTAAACCTACAAATGAAAAAAGATATTATAAAAAGTCCTTAAAGTGGCAAGAAAAATACTTTTCTTGAACTGAAGTTTTTAAAATATATTTTGAACAATATATATATGTGTGTGTGTGTGCGCGTGCGTGTGAGAGTATGTATGTATATATAAATGTATGTGTGTGTGTATATATATATATATATATATATATATATATATAACATTTTTAGTTTTTGCTGTATGGGACAGGTGTCTGTTTGACTGCATGAATTTCATTGTTTACCATATGTGATCCTCTCACCAAATGTGTCCAACACCAAATAATTCATTAATATTTCATATCACAATTTTAAGCAGGCTTTAATTCTCTCAGTGTGACCCGTGTTGCTGCTCGGTGGCTCTCTATGGTGCTCCACTGCTTGTTATTAGCATGACAGGAGTCTTAGCATGGGTGCCGTTATTCTGTAAATCAAGGGTTTTAACTCGACCTGAATCTGTCATGTGGTCTATTATCCTAAACTAAGCCAAATAAAAGACTTTTCCAGTTGTTTCCAGCTGCCGTGTACACTTAACTATATGTGACCCTGGACCACAAAACCAGTTGTAAGGGTCACTTTTTGTGAAATTGAGATTTATACATAATCTGAAATCTGAATAAATAAGCTTTCCATTGATGCATGGTTTGTTAGAATAGGACAATATTTGGCTGAGATACAACTATTTGAAAATCTGGAATCTGAGGGTGCAAAAAAATCAGAATATTGAGAAAATCGCCTTTAAAGTTGTCCAAATTAAGTCCTTAGCAATGCATATTACTAATCAAAAATTAACTTTTGATATATTTATGGTAGGAAATTTACAAAATATCTTCATGGAACATGATCTTTACTTAACATTCTAATGATTTCTGGCATAAAAAAAAAAAAAAGATAATTTTGACCCATACAATGCATTTTTGGCAATTGCTACAAATATACCCGAGCTCCTTTGTGGTCCAGGGTCACATATAACAGCATACAAGCTTCACAGGCAGTTTAAGCTAGCTGGTATTGCAGACTGAATGCTCTCCGCTGGCTAGCGCTCATGAAGTGCAGTTATTGTAGACTGTGTCTAGAGTTTCAGCTCTGCTGGCCTGCTGAAGGACGTCTACTGCCCTCAGCTCACATGTGTTTAATATCTCTGCAAGTGCTGCGAATAGAGTGAAAAGAGATAGAGATACTAAAAATATTATCGTTAGAGTTCGCCCTCATATACATTTACCATGGCTTTAATATGGTACAACTAACTGTAGTAACATACAGTGTTTTGGCAGAAGATTCATGGTAAATAGTCATGTAATATTGGGAAAGTAAGGTTATAATAGCCTGCAGTTGCTAAATGTTTAAGCTATACCAAGTATTGTTTTTTGAATGTTATATTGATTTTACCTGTGGTCACTATGGTCGTACTACAAATATCCTTTTTATGTTTACTGTGCATGAACTATGGTAAATTGGAAATGAGGGATGTATGTACTGTAGCTTGTTAGCATACATAAGCTAACAAGCTAAATATTAAGCTTTAATAAGTTATTGTGCTTGATGAGGGAAGTTTTTGATTATTTTCCAAAACAAAAATGGTATTGCATTGCCATGTTTGTTTGCACGTTTCTTAATACCACGGTATATGAATATGATAATCATCTTTACCATAGTATTTAAATTATTACTAATGTATATAGTATATAATATAATATACATATAAACATTTGTTTTCCAGATAAAGCATCCTTAAAACATTATGCATTTACTTGTGTAAACTGTTGTTTTTATTGTATATATAAAATTAAATAAAAAATAGGAAATATAAGTAAACTTATCAAAATTAAATTTATATAGGTATATATTAGCTATATTTTATCAAAACCAATATATATGCAAAATTTGTTTTTTTTTGTACATGAAAGGAAAAACAATACAATTGTTTTATTTTTGTAATTTAAATTTTTTTTCCAGATAAAACAAAAACATTCTTAAAAACAAAACAAGTATTGTTTTTAAGAATGTTTTTGTTTCCAGATAAAACAAAAACATTCTTAAAAACAATACTTGTGTAAAATGTTATGAAAAAATATTAATAAGAAAATGCATGTCTGCAGTGGGAATGTTGTTGCCTTCTAAGCATTTTTCATGTGATTGTGTCAGTTTTTTGTTTGTGTGGAGTTCGTGACTGGAGCTCCTGTATTCCTCATCTGTGAACAGATCAAGGAGGAGAAGAAGCCTCCAGCCGCCGCCGCCGCTACACAGCCTCCTCCTTCTCTCTCCACCGTCCCGGGAGGATTCCTCAAACAGCTGGTGAGAGAGACCGAGAAAGAGGTGCGCCACAAAGAGCCAGAGCTCAAGGAGGAGAAGACGGTGAGATCTCACTTCACTGGGTGGGATTCTGCTGGAAAAACCTGGTGAAAAAGTGGCTATTTTAACACTGAAGCGGGTGGTTCCATCTTCCAACCAACTTGACCAAGATGATTTACCAGATGCCAGACAAAATATTATTCAGAATAACATTCTTCGTAACTGCTATCTAACTTTAAGAATGTTTTGTATTCCCAAAAACATTACTTAAATGTTCAAAAGACAAAACATAAGAACAATTTAAATTCCTGAAAAGAATGTTCTTAGAATGTGTGAATTCCTGAAAAGCTGAGTTAAATAACCTCTAGGTTCAGATAACCTCCAACCTGTCTTAAAGGGGTCATATGATGAGATTTCAACTTTGGAGTGTTACAAGCTCTTGGTGCATAAAGAAGATCTGTAAAGTTGCAAAGACTAAAGTCTCAAATCCAAAGAGATATTCTTTATAAAAGTTAAGAGTCAACACAAAATAATGTTCTTTTTAGCAACATCATATGACCCCTTTAAATCTCCAAAGGTAAGATGTTTAATGACTTTATTATTTTAAATTATTAAGCAACACAACATGACATATACAGAAATACATGAATATAAGAAAAAATAGAATGTTCTTAAAAGTATTATTTTAAGAATTGCATTTTTTCAAATTTAGAATTTATCTTATGAATAGTCTACAGTACACTATAAAGATGCTCTAAAGAACATTTTTGTGAACTGAAGAATGTTTCTATACAAACTTAACTTCTTTCTTAAGAAAAGTAAGATGTTCTTAAAATATTAGCAAATTTCAATAATTACGCTTAAGAAAATTGTTACGAACTTAGAATATTTTTCATGAATTACACTTAGAAATTCTTAGAATTCATCTTAAGAAATGTCTTAACTTATTAAGAATAAACAATGTCAAAACAATGCTTTGTTAAAAAAAAAAACATTTCAAGAATTGCAAGAATTTGAATTGTTAGAATTGATATTAAGAAACGACTTACCTTTTTCCTTAGGGCAAACAAATATTTAAGAACTTGAGAATTTTTCAAGAATTTCAAGAACATTGTCACAAAATTATCTTAAGAAATGTCTTAACATCTTCCTCAAGAAAAATATTGTTCTTAAAATATTAGTGACGTTTTCAAAAATGACACTTATGAGTATTCTTATTAACTTAGAATTTGTCTGTATATATATAACTGTATCTTAATATAATATAATAAAAAATATTAGCGAATTTCAAGAATTATACTAAGGAACATTCTTAAGTTAGAATATTTGCAAATTTTTCAAGAATTACACTTAGGAATTCTTAGAATTGATCTTAAGAAATGTCTTAAAGGGGTCATATGATGTTGCTAAAAAGAACATTATTTTGTGTATTTTGTGTAATGAAATGTGTTTATGCGGTTTAAGGTAAAAAAAACCACATTATTTTCCACATACTGT